TAGGGTTTAGGGTTTAGGGACACTGCCGTATAGAAGAGAAACCCTAAACTACAAAAAAAAAAGGGACCCGAGTCGTCTCCGAGCCCCAAACCCTCAACCGGATCGTCAAGTCAAGGCCACTTCATTTCTGGGAAGTTGTAGCCGCCATGTAGGGTTGGGGGTTTGGGGTTTAGGATGGTCTATAGGGTCTAGGGAGGTGTGATAGTAACAGTTGGGCTGGAGCAAGCTATCAAGCGACGAATTGAAAATACGAGATGAATACCTTGAGGAGGTGGACCCGACGCCAAACCTCTTAAGCGCTTAATGCCTACATAATTCCTAAAGCCCTACAACCTCTAAGCTCTAACCCTGAGGGTCCGTGTACCCAAATAGTAACATGGTATATACGGTGGCCCTACAGTACCCATGTAGGAACTACTCAAACGCCAAAGTATATACATTATGGGTGCATGGACCCTTGAGGTATAGCCCCCCCATCAACAACTCTACTTCCTGAAGCTTCTTTGAGCAAGGCAGCGCGGAAACACCGTGGGAGCTGCAAATGTTGACATCTGCCTGGGTTGCTGCTACGCACTGGTTCAAGGTTCCCTGAACCATGAATCATCCCAGACTCCAAGATAGGGTTGAAGATTCAGGGTTCTTTTTAGGGTTTAGGGTTCAGGGTTTAGGGTTCGGTTTCTAGGGTTTAGGGTTTTAGGGTTCAGCGTTTAGGGCTCGGTTTTGAGGGTTTGTAGGGTTTGGGCGGAAAGGGCAAACGTAGTTTGACGTACCATTTATTGGGGTTTCAGAAGTCCAGGGATCACTTTTTCCGACATCCCTGAGTTAACATCCCATTTTCATATGTATGTATGTGTGTATACATAATATATATATATATACACATACACATACACACGCACATGCCTATTTCTTCGCGGTTCTACTTTCAATTTTATATATGAGAAAGTCTAAGCCGTAAACTTAGACCCATCCGAACCCCAAATCCTAAAATCCTAGAGCCTTAAACCCTAAAAGTCCTAGACCCTGAACCCCTAAAATAATCCTAAAATCCTAGACCCTGAAACCCTAAAAATCCTAATATCCAAGACCCTGAAACCCTAAAAATCCTAAAATCCTAGACCCTTAAACCCTAAAAATCCTAAAATCCTAGACCCTGAACCGCGAAACCCTAAACAAAGCCGTTGAAGAGCAACCCAAGCGCCTTCTCTTGGATTAGGTAGGCCGCCAAGTCGACGCTGTTCTGAAGCACTGCCATTTGGAGTGGTGTTACCTTTTGAACGGTTTAGGGTTTATAGGGTTTAGGGTTTAGGGTTTATTATAGGGTTTAGGATCTATAGGGTTTGGGTTTAGGGTTTAGAGCTTTGCTTTTTTGTTGGAGGAGGGTGGGGGAGGGAGGGAGTTAAGATGGATTAAGGCTGCAGGGCTTAGGGCTTTTGGGGTCCAGGGTTTTTAAGAAGGGGATAACATGTTCCAAATCTGAGACCAATACCAAGTTTTACAAACCCATACAACTTAAGCCTACTCTTGGGAGTATAGCGGGAGTATGTAGGTGTTATAGTACCCCAAACAGGTGAAAGGTTACCTACTCTACTACTATGGTGAGGGTTAAGGCGGTCAAGATTTGAGAACTGGGCTACCTCAGAGCTTTCCGAGATCTCAGCCACCGAGCACTCGGCGACCATTGCAGTACAGGGGAGCATGTGGCTTCGGCAGTTCCTTAGTTGCTGAGTTCATAAGCCCCAAAAAAATTGTACACTTTCAGTTCTACACGGGTTCATCTTATCCCGAAAGTACTTAGTTCTATAAGAGGTCATATTGCCCCAAAGGGTGTAAAGTGTACTGATTCAGCCACTAAGGTTCACGTCCGCGCTAGCCTGAACCAAGGCGCGCACGATGGAGAGATTGCTCCTGGGTTCCCCCAGACGCCCCTTTAATAACAGGGATTCCCTTTTTCTCTGAGAAGCCAATTTCGAGAGAAACTCCATAACAACAACTAGAGAGCAGGGTACCCATAGGCTCCATGGTAGTTCCTTTCTATTTTTTGTGGTTCACATTTATGACCCTTTAAGGAGTCCCTTTTAAGGTATCCCCAAAAAGGAACGACGAAACTACAAAGCCTATAAGGACCTAGGCTCACAGCGCAGGCCACGACCAGGGGCATAAGGATCTTCCTGTTGCATCCGCTGAGGCAGTACTGAGCATTGGGGTCGGCGGGCATCCGAAGGGCCGACAAAACACCCTCATAGTCCTCCTCAGAGATAGCCTTGGGCCGCTGGTAGGAAAGGAAAGAGGATCCCATTTGAAGGCTCCCGTTTCAATACAGTATAGGATCCCAAACCACGAGATTTCACAAGATGGAAAGAAGATTCCTGACATACCCTAAACCCTAAACCCTAAACCATGTCCAAGGAACCGACACAAGGTCCTGGGTCGCGTCCATATCGTAAGGAAGCACCAGGACTTGCATCTCGGCCGGGAAGCCAAGGCAGGACCAGGAACAGGATTTTAGTACCTCCTGGCCTCCGCAACAAAGTCGTAGCCTTTGAGTTGGCAGACCCATGAGATCACTCAGATGATGTTTCAAGGCATCCAGGAAGTCTGATCTGCCAAGTGTAGCCCCTTCCACGGTCGTCACGACGTTGCCAGAGAGGCTACGAACCGAAAGCATGGCGTGAAAGGTCTGGTATTCTAGGTTCAAGCTTTTCGCTCCCGGCGCTCTACATCCTGGAAATGCCGGGTGTTACTTCATGCGAACCTCTTTACGGTTAAACCCTACAAACCCTGAACCCTCATTCAGCAAACCAACAGGGCACAGCACACTACACCTACTTCCAAGGAGGCTCTGACCATCGGTAGCACGAGTCGGCTGCAGGCCCCGATGCAGGCCATACGCTGCTAGCAACATATCATGTAGGGGTCTAAATAATTACCGATACTGTTTTGGGGGTTCCTTATTATGATTGCAGTAGAATGGGCCCCCAAAGCCCTATTCTAATCATGAAGGCCCTATATTAACCGAGAAAAGCCGCAAACGAGGTGACTCCGGGCTTGGACCCTGAAGCTTGATCTCACCAACTCCCAGGCTTCAGGCTGAAGGCTTAAGGATTAGGGCTTTGGGTTCAAGGTTTAGTGTTTTTGGTTTAGGGTTTGGGGTTTAAGGTTTGGGGTTTAAGGTTTTTATAGGGTTGAAGGTTTAAGGTTTAGGGTTAAAGCTAGACGACCATATTATGATTTTTGTCAGGGTTGTGCACCGGCTCTCGGTTACAGAGCTCTCCGACTGGAGGGGTTCTATGAGGAATCCTCGAGGGATTAAAGCTTGCACATCACGACATCAATAAAGGTATACTCCTTCGCCTAGGACTTTCAGTATTTCTTCATCACGGGCTACAGAAAAAAAACAACTTGCAGCCCTGTATCCCAAATCAAGGGGTGGATTGAACTCCTAAACACCTCCCCTAAACCCTAAACCCTAAAGCCTAAAGCCCTTAAACCCAAAACCGGCCTTCTGGATGCTTTCTGAGGCCAGCACGAATCCTCGCGACAGTCGTGCATCACCTGGAAAGTGGCGGAGCCCTTTCCCTTTCCGGGCAGCCCAACATCCCTTAATAGGTTCTCATTGCTATAAGGGGCCTTTCTGATTAGAATAAAGTTTGGGAGTATCTTATGGTGTACTCATAAACAGGGACCTTAAGGAATTGTACTGGTAATTATTGAGGCTTCTACATTGACCATACCTAAACGAAAGGAAGCAGTCTCGAAGACCACCTTAGACCCTTTGTCTTTCAGGTTAGACCTTAACCCCCAAAAAACCTACCTTTTTAAGGACTTGTATAAGGAATTCATATTAAGACCCCAAATAACCTACCTTTTTAAGGACGTATATAAGGAATTCATATTGGACCCTAAAGAACCTACCTTTTTAGGGTTGCTTAACATGAACTCCTTATGTAAGTCCTTAAGAAGGTAGGTTATGTGGGGTTAAGGTAGGGGTTGAAAGGGATTGGATTCAAAGGCTTCGGGAAACCCGGGTGTAGGGGAATAGAGTGAACCGCATTGCAAGGAAAATTACTTGGGATGCTGGTGCCGGGATTTTCTGTTTTGATTCATGGGTGCCGGGTTCCGTGTTCTTACTGCAAACCCTGTGCTGAGGTGGAAGGAAGTTTAGGAGTAGATACCTACACAATCCCTGGAATACCAAAAACGTGCACCGCAGGAGGGATAAGGGTCTTGATCAGGATGGCAATTCAGAACAGCCCGCACCTGCGAAGTGAAAATTCCGTCAAGAGACACGGTATTATTATATCTACGGCTGCAACTCCTCGCCCTAGCACTACTGCCACTACCTCTAGCCACCACCACAACTACCACTGCAACTCTAGCGACGGCAGCAACGACGAGTCAACAAACCTAATGTAGAGGCCTTAATAATGAGAATAGGGTTTTGGGGGTTCCTTATTCTAATAATAGTAGAAAATACCCCCAAACCCTATTCTAATTATTAAGGCCCCTATAGTACTTAAACGGCGATGACTGCCTCAACCGAGTGCACTGTGAGCGGCCTAATGGTTGCTTGTAATCCTTCATTGGGATTGGGGACTAACCTGGGGCCCTGATACTTCGAATCGGTTTCAGCATTATCGTAGAATCAGGGACGACCAGCATGTTACTGCTGCTCAGACCCCTTACTACCACGAGTATAACCACGATCATAATCTAGCATCATTGCTGAGACTCCTTATTACCAGTATTCTAGTCATGGTCAGAATAATTACACGCATCATCTTTATTCTCCACTCAAACTAGAGTTTCTAAACCCTAAATCCTAGAGGAGAACACTCACTGGCCTTGGTAATGGCTTTGGAAGCCAGGATTGGATGAAGCGTTTCGATGACGCCCTTGCGGAGCCCATCGAACAGATAGACCTTGGCGACCCAAAGGGTCTAGGTAATAGTATAGCAGATCCTCGAGGGACCCAAAGATGTACTAAGTATCTACTATATTGGTACTTGGACCCAATGGGCAACTTGCAACATACCGGGCCCGCAAAACTCACCGTTTTGAGGAATCATAAACAGAAACCATTTCAAGGAACACGAAACGAGCATGTGTGTTTGGGCTGCGGCTAAAAAGAAACCATAGCAAGGAACATGACACAAACATGCTTCTTGGGGCTACGGCTACAATCGCGGGTTTAGGGTCTAGGGTTAAGGATCTAATGTAGGGGCCAAAACAATTACCAATTCTATTTTGGGGGCTCCCTATTAGTTTTTTGTACTACGGGCCCCAAAACCCTATTCGAATAATAAAGGCCCTTATATTAGGGCGGTTTTGGGGCCCTAGACCCTAAACCCTAAACCGTTTTTTGTCAAACTAGGGATTATAGGGTTTAGGGTTGGGACCCAATTTCCTAAACCCTATATTAGGGCTACCCATAGGCCCCTAAGTAGTTCCCTTTTGTGATTACCTTATAGGATTCTCAATATCAACCACAAAAAGGAGCTACTTAGGGGCCTATGGGCTACAGGAAAGGTTACCCTATAAACCCTAAACCTGAACCCTAAACCCGAAACCCTAAACCCTAACTAAACCCTATATTCGGGCTACAAGAAAGGTTGACCAGACTGGAAACTGGGACCGAAGGACTCGGCTTTTGGTTTATTGGGGCTCGGGGGGCTGGAGCTTTCGGCGAGTTTAGCGTTGGGGCTTAGGGCTTATAGGGTTTATGATTTAGGGTTTATGATTTATGATTTAGGGCTTAGGTGTAGAGTCTGCTGTCTGAATTTGAGGTGCTACAACCTCGACTTTTGCAGCGAAGAAAGCGATTGCAACACTTTTTCTCCGAACCTGCTTGTGCAAGGGAAAAATTCGGAAGAGTGCCGTCGTGGTTCTCGCCAGATATCGGCGTAGACTTCTGAATATGTTTCACATCACGGATTGAGCGAGATCGGGGGAGTTTCTTATTCTTGCCTTAGAGTGTACGGCCAGTAATACTTGGAATAGGGTTTTAGGGAATATTATTAAGCATAATTGAGGAACCCCCAAGAACAATATTGGTAATGCATCTACGTCTCTACGTTATGGGTCTAGGATGCAGCGGCCATCTCCTGCACACGTTGCTGGAAGCCCAGAACGAATATAACCCCCCTGCAAGCTTTGGTTTAGGGTTTACCCTTGAACTAAGACTACGAAGCCCTACGTTTTTTTTGTAGCTTCCCTATAAAGTCTCTTTTCCAGGGTTCAAAAGAAGAGCCAACAAACCCAATACCCTAAACCGTGCTGTTTCAGGTCCGCGTTGGGGGATTTTGGCTTGGAAGCTCCCGCCTTCGCGCCATTGGCCCGGGGCACTTGTGAGTTCCCCCAAGGGTCCAGGTGCTCATGCACTTTGGGCTTAGGGTTTAGGGGCCCAAAGTAAGCACTACTTTCAGGCCCAAGTATAATATACTACCCATAGGCCCCTAAGTAGCTCCCTTTTTGGGATTACCTTATAGGATTCTAAATATCAACCACAAAAAAAAACTACTTAGGGGCCCATGGGTAGATGGGCACATGGACCCGAAGAGTTCTGTACACGTCAACAGAGCTGAGGAAGCCGCGGCATCGGAGCATTCCGGATGGGACACGGAAGGCTGTTGGGCCTTTAGGGTTCGAGGTATAGGCCTGGTTTTTGTTGAAGGGTCGATGCAGGGTTAAAGATGGGCTTATAGGCTTATAGGGGTTTAGGGTTTAGGTTTAGGGTTTAGGGTTTAGGGTTTAAGAAACGCTTCGTTTCAGGGCCTGCGCCATCCGAGTGTCTTGCTGTAGACGGGCATGTGCTCCAATCCTTCTCAAACAGAAGGTGCAAGCGGCAGTTGTTCCAGATTGAGACCCTGTCCACAACAAGACCTCGTTTGTTCAAACCAGGTGATTCCCTAAACCCTAAACCCTAAATCCTAAATCCATATTAACCTTGAAAGGAGCCCTGACTTAGAACAACGGCCAAAAAGCTTGCATTGGCTTTACGACTAGACACAGCTATCTGATTGCGGGACTGCCGTGGTGCAATGCACGCACTCGCAGAACTTGAGTTGACTAGCGTACCCGCTGCAACAGGGGCCATTCACAGTAAACCTCAACACATAGGTCAAATCCCTAAACATCTCAATGTTAAGACACCACCGACTCAGTTCCGATTGACGAGGGCGCATGTTGATGCCAGCAATCAGCACCTGGAGAGCCAAACCAAGCGTCATGCCTCGGATTCTTCACATGCGCAAGGCTCGCACCTAAACCCCAAACCCTAAACC